CACGTGGGAGTGCTGTGTGTGCACATCTGTGTGTAGGTATACAAATTTGTGTGTGTGCACGTGGGAGTGCTGTGTGTGCACATCTGTGTGTAGGTGTACAAATTTGTGTGTGTGCGCACATGGGAGTGCTGTGTGCGTATCTGTGTGTACGTGTACAAAGTGTGTGTGTATGTGCGCACGTGGGAGTGCTGCGTGTGCACAGCTGTGTGTGTACGTGTACAAAGTGTACGTGTGTGTGCACGTGGGAGTGCTGCGTGTGCGTATCTGCGTGTGCGCGCGCATGCCCTTGTGAGCCTGTGTGTGTGTGTGTGTGTGTGTGTGTGCACGCCCTTGTGGCTCAGCCCGAGGGACCGGCAGGACCTGGCTGGCTGGGTCACTCACAGAATCCTCTCGGGACCAGAGGCCGGGGCCCGGGTTGGGGTGGGTGAGCCCTGGGAGCTCCTTGGCCCTGGTTCTGGTCCCGGCAGTGGCAGCAGACCCGATGGGGGGCTGACCCCACACACAGCCTCATAAGGGGGCAGGGTATCCATGGAGACGGTGCGGAGGCCACCGTGGCCCAGGATCCTCTGTGCCTGCTGGGGTCGGCCGGGGCCGGGGCCGGGGCCGGGGCCCGCATTCATGGCGCCATCCAGCGTGGGGTACGAGTCGGTCAGCGAGTAGGGCGGCGGTGCATCAGTGGGGACGTAGAGCTGAGTGGCCCCTGGCCCCACACACTCCTCGTAACTGCAAGAGAAGAGGCTCCCTCAGGGCTCGCTGTGGAGGCCTTTCCCAAGGGCTGGGGGCATGCTGGCGCTGAGGAGACCCCTCACCTCCCCCCAGGAAAGGCACCCCAGGACCACCGCGGCTGGCTTCTGGCCCGACTCAGCCCGTGTGCCGTCACTGAGCGGCGGGCCTCACAGGGCTCGGAGCAGTGGCCGCGGCTGATGGAGAGGCTCCACAGCTCGCCCTGAGTGTGGGTGGTGCCAGCCAGGGGCGGCAACCTCGGGCCATCTGACACTCCTTGGTCCCAAGTCGCCAAAGTGGCCCTTTCAGGCTTAGGAAGGAGACCCTGGGGCTCCTTGGGAACCCGTAGCTACAGGCCAAAAGAGCACCTGCTGCCCCCCCAGGGGGTAAGGGGTGCAGGGTGACAGGAGTGGGGCCAGAGGGGTCTCCTGGTAGGGCAGCGATGGAGGCCCTGACCTCCCTTCTATTTCCAACTACTAAGCCGTGGGTCATCTGCCTGAGGGTGCCAGGGAGAACCCACAGGCCCCCCCCAGAGAATTCCCCAATGGGACCGGGCCACCTGACGGCCATGAGTGCGGTTTGGACACAGTGAGGCCTGACCCAGTGCATGGGGTTTGGGTTTTGGGGGTACATACTAAGCAGCTGGGGCCTGGACCCTCCTCCCCACCCCCTGACCCCAGCCTGAGGGAGCTGAGCTTTCCCTTCTCCAGTGACATCTGTTGCATCATGCCCTGTGTCACCGGGACCTGCTTGGTCAGGAGATGGCCACGCCCAGAGATTTTCTGCATTTACCCCATTTGGGGGAGATGTTGCTCTTTCCCAACCGGGGGTGGGGGAGTGGGTTCACAGCCAGTGCCCGTCCCGCTCATGCCCTCCTCCCCTCGAAGCCTCCTTACCCTGGTGGAGAATCGGGGTACATCTCTCGAAGCACTGTGGCGTCCACATCCCCATCAGAACTGAGATCCAAGGGTGGGGACCAGTCCTCGGCGGGGCTGCAGGTGTAGCGTATCCTGTGGCTCGAGTGGCTGTATGTGTGCCCGTCGGACACTGCAGGGGACAGACATTCAGCCTGGGGGTTAGACCGGAAGCAGGGAGCGCCCAACAGGTCTACCTGAGGCCACTGAGAACCTGTTTTCTCCAACTCACCATCTGGTCCCTCAGCAAGCCCAGCTGCCTGTCATTCTCTCGGAGCTAGCCGCAGAATGTGAGCACCCCTGCTGCGCTGCGCAGGCTTCTCAGAGAGAAAGCAGAGCTGGCTCTGCCCTGGTGGGGCTCCCAGGGTGGTGAGCAGCCTGTCCTGGGGACAGCCCGGTACTGAGCAGTGTGTCATGAGATCTGATAGATGCAGTACTGGCCCTATGGGAATAGTGATGAGCTGACCCAGCCTGGAGGTCAGGGAGGCCTTCCTGGAGGAGGGGCTCTTAAAGCTGAGTCTAATCTAGGAATTAGCCAAGAGAAGAGGGACAGGCCGGGCAGAAGGAACAGAACAGCTTGAACCAAGGAAGGGGATTAGAAAGAAGAGTGTGGTGGGAAAAGGAAGCTTTGAAAATGTAGAGAAGGGCTGGGGCATGAAAACTGGGGAGTCAGGGAATGAGGGCTGCAGAGGTCTCTGGGGTCAGGCCTCCCTACTCCCTGTGCCCAACCATACATTATTCCCTTAGTTATCCCAGGAGAAAAGGCACTTCTGTAATGAATTCTGGTTATTCCGTGTACTGTATTCTCCTCTGTTTTGTTTGTATGTTTACCATATATTAGCACATTAAAGGCTCTGAGAAGTCCTGCAGCTGAGAATTACATTTGACTGCGCTTATGCGTATTTGACCACAGAATCTTTTCTTAGATCTAGTAACACTGCTTAGGAGGTGCTGATAGAGCACATTCATTCTACAAGTGTGGTTCAGAGGGGTCAGTGACTTGCTGGAGGCCACACAACAAATTATTGGTGGGCCCAGAGGGCAGCTGGATATCCTGGCTCCTCACTCTATAAAGCTCTCCACCTCCCAGTTTCTGACAGTTCTAGTAGAGGCTACTGGACAGATGGCTGAGTCATGAGATCTCCCCACCCACGATGGGCGGGCAGCCAGCTCCTCCCCTCAGAGATCAGGACTCAACATCGGGGTGGGGCTTACCGGTCTGGGGTGGGGCTCATGACCCTTCTTTGAGGTCAGCAGCACTGTCCATCCCCATTCTACATTCTACAAGCTGAGGCTCAGGGTCACAGAGTTGGAATTCATGCACAATCGGTATAACCGTAAAGACTGCTCTTTCCACTCCCCCTAATCTCTTTTCCCCACTCCTGATACAACAGTGAGTAGAAAAATCTGGATGTGAAACTCTAACTGCAGGTATAATCCCAGGGTTATCTATGGACATCGAGACAGCTCTCGGAAGAAAATATTCCAGACACGTTAACAGTGGCTGTGTCTTGATGACAAGATCACGACCCTTATTTTCTTCTTTATATTTTCTGTATTTTAAAGGTCTTCCACGGTGAACACATATTACTTTTCTACTAGGAAAAAGGTACCCAATAACGCATGCTATAAAAAAGAGCTGAAATGAGATTTGTTTCCCTTTAGGGTACCAGCTGAAGGGTGAGGATGTCTGGAAGAACTTGAAGAAGAAACTCAGGAAAGAAGAAAGCATTAAGTAGGGTGAGTACAGAAGTGGGATGTGGGCCTCTGGGCTCCAGTGCCGGGAGGGGCCCATCCACCATGCAGGAGGCTGTGGCTTGTCTCAACCTTGGGAAAGCTAAGGCTGTGTCCTGGACCGGAGGGGTGGGGGGGACGTCTGAGAGCTGACAGAGCTGAGCCACACTGTCGTTCCCCTCTCTGCTTGGGCTGCTTTCCTGGGACTTCCCAGAGGCTGAGCAGCTTAGGGAAACTGAGGCTGCCCTGAGGCACTCACCTAGCTCAGACCCCAATCCTGAGTTGACCCAGCTTAGTCCAGACAGAGCTCCTGAGGAACAGATGGAAAGACTCCCCCAGCCCCTCATTTCAACTCCCCCCAATTCCTTTCTTATGCCCTCTCCTTTCCCGACTTCCCAGTCAGCATAGACCCTGATGGTCCAGGCCTCTGGAAGCCCCTCCAGCCACCTCATGAGGAGTGAGACCTCCCTATCCCCTTCTTTACCCAAATCAAGAAACACCTCAGCTCATGATTTAACCCCTTGACGAGCCCGGGAGTGGGGAGAAGGAGTTTGCGTCCACGGAGATCTACCGTGCTCTAGCCTGGTGACCACATTCTCCCTCACACCTGTGAGAGGCACTGTGGCCGCCTCCTGCTCTCAGATGTGGAGACTGAGAGGAGGGGCCGCTTGCTCTAAAGCCCCAGCAAGTAAGATGAGACCAGATCTGTCTCCTAAAGCGAAAGATCTTTCCATCTTCTAGAAATAGAATTTCTTGGGGCGCCTGGGTGGCTCAGACGGTTAAGCGTCTGCCTTCGGCTCGGGTCATGATCCCAGGGTCCTGGGATCGAGCCCCATGTCGGGCTCCCTGCTCAGCGGGTA